GATACCTCCCTAATGTTTACCTTACAGGCAAAGGCTTTCTTCTCTCCCTAATCCCAACACTCTAGTTACCAAATTGTTCCCACTCCATTAAGCCCACTTCACATATTACCTTCTTTATGAACTCGCTCATAAAGGATTTCTTTCTCTTCTGAACTCCTAGAGCACTTCTGTTTGACGTACTCAGTAGTGCATGTATATGCCTGTATTTGTTGCAGGTTTTTGCTGCAGATTTTAGTGTCTTTTCTTTATTGAGAGATTTGTGACTCTGGTTTATATTTCGCTTCATCACTAGTACCTAAGAAGGACCTTCTCCTTAGTTCAAATTCAGTAAATGTTGTCTTAATAAGTTTCTTAATTAATCCCTGATATAATGCCCAGAAATTCCACACAATATATAAAATTATATTTATGCCACTGTCTTTAAGTTCATTAAGCACAAATGGCAATTGTGAATTTGAATATATGCCAAGTGTTTCCACCTAGTCAACAACTATATAAAAAAATTCAAAGTGTATAAAATGGATGTTTTTACATCAAAACGATATTACATCATTTTATCACATGGCACCATGAGAATTAGAAAGAGGGAAAAATAAATTGTCATAGGCAGTGACTTAGGAAAATTTCAAGGTGAAATTATGTGCTTTCTCCCTGGCAGTAACTCGCTTCCCTGAGAATGACAGAAGTACCTGGCGTCAGCAGAATGACCGAGGTGACGATCAGGGAGCAGATGACCAGAATCACAAGCAGTGCGATCGCGATGCCTTTCCAGTTTCGTTGCGGAGGATTACTTCCCACCAGCTCCTAAAACAACAGCAGCAGGAAAGAAAACCTGAGTGAGTGAAATAAGGAAATCAAATAAGCCAAACAAATGTATTTCATTTAAATCGAGGACCGAGACCGAAAGCAGTGAATGAGGTGCATTCCCATCCTCGAAGCTGCTGTTAGCTCCTCTCTGTGCCCGTCCACCTTCGGTGCCCAAAGCTCAAGCCTGTCTCTTCCCCGTACTGTGCAAAACTTTGTCTCAAGAAAGCATCTGCTATGACATGACGTTTACGGCTTTTGCGCAAACCTAATGCTCCTCCCAACAAACCGGACTCCACAGCACAGGTTAATTCTGAAGCTTCCTCTTCGTTACAGACAACCTACTTGTCCCCGTTGAGTAAACCCAAGCAGGATTAGATCTTCTAGCCCCAAGTCCTCTCTCCTCTTTCCCTGTCTTTACAGCTACGCTATTAACTTTTACTTCAGGCTGCCACATTTACATATTTATTTAGCACATACTATGTGCTGATTGTAATCAACTTCTGCCCATCTCTCACCATCTTGAGGTTTTTCTTTTTCTACAGCTCCTCATTCACAGTTTTAAGATTTTCCTCTCTCT